AGGGGAAACGTTGTCGAGAGTCCTACGCACGGAATTTGCAAAAAGGCAACTTTGCCGATTTTTTATGAGAATGCGTCGATTAGGTTGTGGTCTTTCAAGGATATCAGGGAAAAGAAAAAATCATTAAGACCGCAAAATAATCGCCGCGCCGATGCGGTACATTGTCTATTTTTGTCGCTCACCCATGTGTGGGCGAATGGAAAAAGTACTCTAACTTCAATGATGTTTCGCGCTCAGAGGAATGTGTGAGACAACCTGAAAATTGGAGTACTTACAGATTTTATTGTGACCTCACTAGGAAAAATACTAAGTAAATCTATAAAAGTCGTTTCAACTTTCAACCACGAAATATAAGCGGCGGCAATTTTGAGCCATGTTCCATTTCTGCCACTCTCTCTTTCTCTCTCTCTCTCTCTCTCTCTCTCTCTCTCTCTCTCTCTCTCTCTCTCTCTCTCTTAACCCCATTGCTTTCGGTTATTGGGCCAGGCTCACAATTCGCAACCCTAAGGCTGCGCTATGGTGGGTTTAAGCGTCTGCAAAGGCTACACCAAAAGCGAACACATCAGCCCCCTCCACGCTCTCTCTCTCTCTCTCTCTCTCTCTCTCTCTCTGAAAAGGACATGTTTTTCATTTTTTGTCAGGAAAAAAAAAAGAAAAAAAGAAACAGACTAAGTTGGCCGTAAGGGACTTCTGAACGGTCATTTTGTCAAAATGGGCATTTTTAATTCTTTGACAGAAATTGAAAAATACTAGGTTGACCCAAAACATGTAAATAGTTGTTCCTCCTGAGGTCCGGTGTTCTTAAAACGCCCGAGCGGCCCTAAACTCCAGCTAAGTCGATGTATGGACTTCAGCTAGCAAGTCCAGATAGACCCTGAAGAGCTAAAACTTTTGATATTTTTCAGGCCAATTTCATCCGTTTCAATTTGGTTCATTTTGGAAGGATGCCCCATTTTGGAAATGAACACATACTAGGGTTCAGGTCAATGGTCTTCTTTCCCCAGAAATCAGTTTACAGAGATCAGTTAGACAACGAGATCCATTAACTCCATTTTTTTTTTTATTATAATGGAAGCATTAGGAGATAATCTAAGAACTAACCAGAACCTTAAAAGACTGCAGATTACCGGAATACCTGAAGAAGCCATACCGATTTGCTCTATGTTTGTTGATGACCTAACTATAATGATGGTAGGATCCAAGGAGAATATGGAAGAAATAAAAGCACTAATGGATAAATTTTATCTTCTTTCAGATATGGTAGTCAATTGGGGGAGTAAGACACAAGGATGGTGGATTCATTCCCAAGGGGATAGACCTCTTGAGAATCCTAGGGTAAAATGGTTACCACAAGAGGCACCAATCAGGGTCTTGGGAGTAATACTCACAGCTAGAGGAAAGCCTAATTCTAATGATGAATGGATCACTTCCCCAACCTTACAAAAAATGAAGCAATGGAAAAATCAACACACTTCACTATTTGGTAGGGCTCTGGTTATCAACAACGTAATCTTGGCCTCGATCTGGTACAAATCTGCTTTATGGTCAATAAGTAATAGATCGATCAAGGAACTTAGGATGCAACTTACGGCCTTCTTATGGAGAGGAAATCATGAAACGTCACATGTAAATCCTAGAGTAGCTTGGAAGGTTCTTATCCAACCAAAGTTCAAAGGAGGATTATGCATTTTGGACCCTTCAATCCAATGCCAAACAATTGCTCTCCAATGGCTAAAAAGACTAATATTGGTCACGGACCTAACTTGGCAGGCATTGGCACTGGAACAAATAAGGAAAATGGCACCACAAACTACAAAAGATGTCCATCCATTGATTTGGGTAGAGGACAGATACTGGTATCTTCCTCGATCACAATCACAATCTCAGAAGGAAGGGGATGAAGGGATAGTAAGAAGGGATCTGGTTTTAGATAGTTTTTGGGCTACCCTACTGAGAACTTGGCGAAATTTGCCTTTGCCAAGCAAATCAATTCCTACTAGGTATGAGAAAATCCTACGCCAACCAATTTTTGGTAATAGATGGATCACGCATGCATAAGGAAGAGTATTCATAAGTTCCACATCCCTATGGTCCATTTGGGTCAAACATGGTGTGGTAAGGATCAAGGATTTATGGGACCAGGAAAATAAAAATTGGAAATCAGTTAATCAACTGAGAAAGGTAATTAGATATGCACACAATCTAGCTGAAAATATGGATTTAGTGATTTCATACATTTCTTTGGTTTGGTTAGCCGCCCTGTGCCAAACAAATCAATTCCTACTAGGTATGAGAAAATCCTACGCCAACCAATTTTTGGTAATAGATGGATCACGGATGCATAAGGAAGAATACTCATAAGTTCCACATTCCCAGGATCCATTTGGGTCAAACATGGTGTCGTAAGGATCAAGGATTTATGGGACCATGAAAATAAAAATTGAAAATCAGTTAATCAACTGAGAAAGGTAATTAGATATGCACACAATCTAGCTGAAAATATGGATTTAGTGATTACATACATTTCTTTGGTTTGGTTACCCGCCCTGAGAAAGGGTCCTATTTTCTTGGCTGCACATTGGGTATGTGCTCAGCAAACGACGGGTTCCAGGGTAGTGGGGCAAATTCTAGATATCCATAACGATGGCACCCTAGTTAACATCCTTACACTCAATAAAGACTTTTCTCTAACACAAGAAAATCAAAATAAGGTTGAATTTTTCGATCTTCACACTCTCCACAGAGTAAGAGCTTTGTATTGTCCTGTATCTAAGGGATGGACTGTATATGCCCCGAATACTCCCCTACAGGAACTCCCCCTGGATCCAGTAGAATGGACCTGGCGCACTAACAGGAGATGCAAGGCGCAGAACTTACAATCATTATCAGTCAAAGCCTCGTATCGTCTATTACGTCCAAAGCTTGATGTTATAGACATAATACGAGAACGACATCTAAATCTATACACAGATTTGCTTAGGCCAATTAAGTGGTGTCAAGCTTTCAGAGACAAACCCGCTAAATTTGCATCACTACAATGACAAATTATCCATAGATGTTTAACACAAATGACTGGTTGATAGACCATACCACGCTGGAGCAAAGGGGTGTAGATGTACCGTGGTGTTGTACATGTATGGAAAACTTTCCTAATAGGAAGATTAGAGAGACAATCGATCACATCTTTTTGCAATGTCCGGGAATAAAATCATTGTGGAGACTATGGGATTATGTATGGAACAAATTGACAGGATTAGATTGGCCCTGGCACTGGAGGGCGATCCTCCTGGGACATTGGTGTCCTGTACTCATTTCCCTTTCAACCTTTCAACAAAATTTATTTAACATTGGTAGAAAGGCCATTTTATGGGCACTATGGTATAAAAGATGTGTAATTACGATGGAAAAGGTAAGGATTGAAGGAAAAGAAATGTCTGAGCTTATTCAACAATACATTGAAACAGAAGTAAGATCCCAATGGGACAAGATTAAATTTGGACTTCACACACTACAACAAAAACATGACATTAAGAAAAGAATTCAAATTTTCACAAAGGACTGGCTGGGAGACTCCTCAAGACAAAAACTGGGAAAGATAGAGTGGTCAGGAGGGGAAGAAGATGGGACAAATTTCAAAAGAGATTATGAGATCATCTTCCAGGACTGGTTTGAGGTGCAGGCAGGAGCTACTTTGAGGTCACCAGAAGCATTTCCAGATCTCTTTCCTCCTTCTGAGCTAGCTTTGGTGGATCTTCATTGGTTTGGAGGGGGGGAGGGATAACAAAAGTCCTTTCTCCTCATTATGTCAACAAATATCTGAGTTCAGATTAGGCAGAACGGGAAGGTTTTTGGGATTGGGAGCTGCTAGCATTTAAATAAATATCTGGCGGCCAGTTTTTGGCCGAAGAGGCCAAAAAAAAAAAAAAAAAAAAAAAAAAAAAGGAAGGATGCCACATTGGATACTGGGATAATTCCAGTTCAAATAGAGGATGGTCAATCTCCTGACTTCCACCAGGGCAATGAATGCAATCCAAAGACAATAAGACCCCCCCCTAATAGAGGTCACCTGTGTTTCTTTACCAAAAAAAACAAAAACAATAAAAACAACAACAACGATGAGAAAGGGAGGCACAGCTACTGGCAGGTCTCGGTCTTTGTGTTAGCCAGACCCCCACTGGCGGCCCCAACCCTATACCCTAACCATTAGGGGCAAGGGGCAACATGAAATCTCCCCTTCACAGAGAGAGGAAACTATGCTTGCAGGGGTCCCCTCTAGATAGTCTTAGGAGTAGGTAGTGGAAGGTAAAAGAAACAGAAGTTGAGAGAAGAATATAGAAAGAAAAGAAAAGAAAAGAACAACAACAAGTCAAACGGGCAGCCAGCCGCCCAGCTCAGTTGGTAGAGCAGCTTAGTGGCATTCAGGAGGTTGTGGGTTCGATTCTCCAAATCATCTATTTGAATCACCACCACCCTTCAGGTGCACTTCAGGCTCAACAGCTGAGAGAGTTAGCTTGCTCCCGCTGGTTGGTCTTAAGGCACTAGGTGTCCACAGCAGAAGGACAGACTCCCCACGTGACGAAATACAGCAGAACGATTTCTCCCTTTCTTTTCCCTTATCCCACCTCTACAACAACCTGGGCTTAAAACAAAAAAAAAAAGCATTGGGCACATCACGAATCTGAAAAAAAAAAGGATTGGGCACATCACGATTCACGAATGAATAGATGGAGCAGCCCACTAGATAAGCCCTCAATTCGGAGACGGTTCTCTTACCACCCCCGGGGGCTAGGTCCCACTTACACGAGTTAAGCGATATTGACCGTAGATTGCAATGATCAACGGCCAGAATCTCTTAATCAGTGCAAGTGGGACCTTGCCCCGGGATGGAGGGCTTACACAGGGGCTTAAAAAAAAAAGAAAAAAGAGAAAAAAAAAAAAGGATTGGGCACATCACTTCACTTCGAATCAAAACCCTCAACCCTCGAACATTGTATACAAGACACCCGGGGCGAGGTCCCACTTGCACTGATTAAGAGATTGTGGCCGTTGATCTTTGCAATCTACGGTCAATATCGCTTAATTCGTGTAAGTGGGACCTAGCCCCCGCTGGTGCACACCTTCAGCCGTACGGTACGGTACGGTTAGTAAACATGAGCTCGACGCTTTCTTCACCCTCTTAAATAATCTCTGCCTAACGGGGGGGTAGCCCCCTCACTAGTGACCCATCACATCATGGGTCACAAGAGACACAGACGGACTCCCGGAGTGACGAAAGAACAAGAAGACAAACGACTTCATCTTTTTTCCCTTTGGAACACGAGTGTAACATCGACTCCGAGTTCGTCAAGGGGCCCCAGACAATTTTTTTTTTTTTTTTTTTTGGGAATCACCAGACAATTCAACATGCCAGAGGATCACAAAGCCAGACGATTATGATCAACGGAAGGACGTACCAACAAGCTCCAAGGGGGCGAATGCAGCAGGACACGGGCTGGACCCCAGGCTGGTCGTGATTGCCGCTTTTTGACCAAATCAGGACCAAAGACGAAGTACCAGTTCAAGCGAGAGCTCGATTGCCATCAGATTCGATCACAGTAGTAATGCGGTTGATGAACCTATCCGACCTCGACGGCCGCTCATTCCAGTCGCAAGAGTAGTCCGTCCAGGTTCGCTGCCGAGCGGAAGGTCCCCGCGGTAGTTGCGCTCTCTCTCTCTCTCTCTCTCTCTCTCTCTCTCTCTCTCTCTCTCTCTCTCTCTCTCTCTCTCGCTCGCTCTCTCGCTCTCGCTCTCTCTCTCCCTGCTAGGCACCGAACGCGTTCGCGCTCTCCTCCGGTCCTCCAGGAGAAGTCGCACAAGCTCTATCTTCAGTACATCTAACCCCAGTTACGGTCCAACAGATTAAAAAAAGTGCAATCCTCTCTCTCTCTCTCTCTCTCTCTCTCTCTCTCTCTCTCTCTCTCTCTCTCTCTCTGTGTGTGTGTGTGTGTGTGTGTGTGCGCGCGCGCGCGCTCCCCCACAAGATGGCTCTTCTAAGCTCTTCCCATTTCGATCGACCGCTTTCATGTGCGTTCAGTCGCGCGCCTCCAGCGAGCAAGAGCGCTTTCATGTGCGTTCAGTCGCGCGCGCCTCCAGCGAGCACTTGCTCGAACACCAGAACGAGCGCTGATCTGCCGCGTCCCCCTTTCACTAGCCCCTTTGCTCGTGACCTCCTCCTTGACACTCCCCTGTTCCCTCTCACTCCCTCTCTGTCTCCCCCTCTGGAGATTAGTAACACTTACGGGTAGGTGGCGGGTGGCGTAGAGCATTATAACAACTTCCCATCCACGGAGATGGCAACTTCGTCTCCACTTGAGCTATGAGGCTTGCTCCTGCGACTCTCCCTCCACAGCTCAAGTGCGCCCGAGGCGTGCGCCCCACCAGTTCAGTCGCGCCCGCCAGAGTGATCTCTCTCCTCCCGCTAACACCCGCCCGTCCCCGCTCCGCGAACTCGAACTCCCCTCGTACGCGCCCGTCCGTTTCCCTGACCGTGCGCCCTCCTCCGAGCTCTCCGCGCGTCCTATTGTGGGCGCTGCACTCCGCGCGCTCGCTATGGAGCCCGCCCCGCTCTCTCTCTCTCTCTCTCTCTCTCTCTCTCTCTCTCTCTCTCTCTCTCTCTCTCTCTCTCTCTCTCTCTCTCTCAGTTTAAATTCAATTCTGAATTTTCGAATAAAAATAAGCAAATAAACTATCTGTCTATCTACCTATCTATCCATATATACATGTAGATGTAGATGTTTGCCTTCTATGTCACGTACCGCAGTCGCGCCTCCTCCCACTCTTCGCCGTTCTCCCAGACTGACTAAGGGCACGCAGTTGGGGTTCGGTGCATCCGTGGAGAGTCCCAACTACGTCCATGCAAGAAACTGCGAGCGTCACCGCGACTGCACTCGAAAGAAAAAGGACGACTTTAGACTCTCTCTCTCTCTCTCTCTCTCTCTCTCTCTCTCTCTCTCTCTCTCTCTCTCTCTCTCCCCCCCCTCCTTCCCTTCCCGGCGCTACCTCCCGCGCACACGCGCGTCCGCAACTACTCGCCTTTCGAGCGCTCGTTCGAGCTCGTGCGCGATGTTACCCGCCCCTACTGGCACGTGACTTCCGTTCTTGTCGCCCACCGCGCGCTATTCGTGCGCAGCTCCACGAGTCCTCGTTCGCGCGCTCCCATGTACGTGCACCCGTTTCCCCTCTTTCCTTCCAACCTCCGCGCACCTCTTCTTGCGCGTTCCACCTTCCTGCGCCTCTCTCTTGTGCGCTCCACCTCCGTGCACCGCTCACTTGAGCGTTCCACCTCCGCGCACCTTCCATGCGTGCCCGTGCCCCTGCCCGCGCCTCCCAACCATCTCTCTCTCTTTAGCCCTCTTCTATCTCTTCCCCCCTCTGTATCTGGCCGTCTCTCTCCGCAGCATTCGCCCAGTAACCTCTCCTACTCCTCTTCTGCACCTTCCGCCCCATCTCCACTCCATACATCTCCTATCTCTAGCCCACTTATTCTCCTTATCTGGCCGTTCACAACTGGATGGCCAGATCTCCTCCCAGATCCAACGGCTTTCTCATGTCTCTCCTGTGCCTTTCCCTCTTCCACACCTGAACCTGTGTCCTTTTCCAGACCATGTTCGGCCTTCTTCCCGCTTTCCCCTTTTCCGCATCAGAGGGCAGTTTCACACCAGCACATTTGAACATTGTCGCAGCCCGTCAGGGTTGCGTTTTATATTCGCAGCCCGTCAGGGGTGCGTTTTATATTCGCAGCCCGTCAGGGGTGCGTTCTTACCCCCGAGACTTTCACCTTCATTGAAATTTCAACGTCGGTGGTCCTTGGGGAGGGTGGGCATTTTGAGGTTTTGGGGCCTTGCAAGGGGCCGGACCGAGTACAACCGGTAGCTGCCGGGGTAGCTGCCCGTAGGAGGCCAAGGAAGCCGCTGTAGCGTGGCTCCACTTTTCTCAAATAGCGTGGGTGCCGGGAACACAGCCCTAAGGTAG